AATGTAATCCAACATGTAATCTTCTGCTATAATCCACTTTACAACTGTAATTTTGACAGCTATAGTAATGTAATCCAACATGTAATCTTCTGCTATAATCCACTTTACAACTGTAATTTTGACAGCTATAGTAATGTAATCCAACATGTAATCTTCTGCTATAATCCACTTTACTACTGTAATTTGACAGCTATAGTAATCCAACATATAATCTTCTGCTGTAATTCACTTTACTACTGTAATTTGACAGCTATAGTAATCCAACATATAATCTTCTGCTGTAATTCACTTTACTACTGTAATTTTGACAGCTATAGTAATCCAACATATAATATTCTGCTGTAATTCACTTTACTACTGTAATTTTGACAGCTATAGTAATCCAACATATAATATTCTGCTGTAATTCACTTTACTACTGTAATTTTGACAGCTATAGTAATCCAACATATAATATTCTGCTGTAATTCACTTTACTACTGTAATTTTGAAAGCTATAGTAATCCAACATGTAATCTACTTTTATTCTAGTAATTCTGATTTGAAAAGAAGAAAAACACACATACACACACCACATTTAATTAGCATTGAAATCGACAAATCACATGTGAAAAATTAGCGCTCCCCTTTTGCAGTTTGCAACGACCCAGGGGGCGTTAATTAGGGGCAATACGGTAAATTATTCTGAATAAGAAACTCATATTTTATTACTTCATTAATCCATACAACTAATGTCATTAATCTTTTAAAAAACCAGCTATGTTACGTCTAACAAAAACCAGCTATATTATGTCTAATAAAAAACCAGCTATGTTACGTCTAACAAAATTCGATATCATTGAATGTCTCTTTAGGGCAGAGAAATACTGTATTTAGAGTCCAGTTTCTTTGGTTTCTGAAGCTACGAATACTTGTAAGTAATGACGTTTACTGGAAAAATTGAGGTAAAAATACTAATGTTACGACAGCGAAAGTCACGTGACGCTGGGAGCATGTGTGACTGAGTTTCTCGAATTATCGGGGAAGCTCGAGTGTGATCGAGAGACGCCTCTTTGTTGGCATATAAGCCCTTCAACACAATACAAGCACTGAATGATAATGTCTAACAATATGCCTGACTGTCTTTACAGCTTCGGGCACTGGTAGAGTAGAGCATTCAGCGCTCTACCAGTGAAAGTGGGTTTTCTCGGGGTTCTCTCGCCCCCCCCCCCCAGCAAAAGTTTTCCTTATGCTTTGGATCCTTAGATGCCAGCCCTGAAAAGGACCATCTCAGGTTAAATGTAACTCTTTAGTTCTCTGTCAATGTTTAAATAGTAGAAACTTTATCCTAAACTGCTAGCCAATATTCTGTATTCAGTTTAATCTCAGTATCTTAGTCAATAACGGACGTACTCGTTCTACATCTCCCTGTTCTGCTCTACAAACCCCCCACACCATGTGATCATCCAACGCCCAAGTTCAGGAGAACGAAAGAAAACGCCGGTAGTCAGCATACAACACACTGAAGCTCTCCTCCTCGCAGGTCTTCCCTCAGCTTTTAAGCACGTCACTTTGAAAATTATCAGTTAAAACCTCCTCTCTTGTAAGCGTTTAATTCATGAAAGTCTCGGCTACTTATTTCTAATTATGTAGTGGGGTGAAGAGCAACAAAAGTTTCTGACTGCCCCTGGTTATATTTCATTCCCAGAAGGGGAATGAAATATACTGTTAACCTAAATTCCTACCATGCCAATCGGTCGGCCTGCGTGAATGAATGTATAAAGCGAACAGTAGCTACGGTGAGTTTTGTATTAGTGAGCTGTAAAGTGTGTGTTTTGCACTCGTAGAGAGCAAAATATCGAGATTGTGAATCGCTGTGATTTATAAAAGTTTTTAAGTTTAAAGTGACGAGAAACGTACTGACTGTGGAATTACTGTGTACTAAAAGTTTGTATCGAAAAAGAATAAACTGGTTTAATCAAGAAAGGACTTGTATTGCTGAAATTCCTCAGAAATAATTTATACCGGAAATTATCAAGCAAGCAGATACGCAACAATAACGATATTTAACAAAGAAAATTATCATAATTTATATACAGAAGTAAATATGTGTCCTTGTTTGGATATAATTATTAGAAAGGATTTACTTACATATAAAACAATTACGTGATTGCAACGAATACTTTTTTCGTTGTTTAGACGTATTTCTTAACAACTACTGTCCAGTGAAATAAAACTGTTTCGAATTTATTTCAAAAATATGATGCTTAGATTGCAAGTTTGGAAGAGGCGACGATAATATTTCAATTATATAATTTTGTTCCAAACAATGTATAAATCAATATGGCCGTTACCCAAATATATTGTTACGTAAATCAAATGAAATTTATCAACCCTTGGTGCCACGTCTCGTATTTCCGGTAACATACTGTTGTGTGTCTGCTTGTTTGTTAACTTCCGGTAGAAATTCTTTCCGAGGAATTTCAATGATACAAGTCCTTTCTTGATTAAACCAACTTATTCTTTCTCGATACAAACTTTTAGTACGCAGTAATTTCCCAATCACTACGTTTCTCGTCACTTTAAATTAACTACTTTTATAATACACGCTATAAATCACAGCGATTCACAATCTCGATAACAAAACACACACTAGCTCGAAACGGAATCGTAAATTACCCGGAACTCTCTTCATTCAATCCCGTAGGCTTTCTCTGTCAGGCTTATATACTAAAAAAGAAGGCGTCCTAAACAAACTCGGTCTTCTCCGATAATTCATGATCACTCGAGAAATTCATCACGTGTTACCAGCGTCACGTGACTTCCGCTTTCGTAACAATGCCATTGTTTAGGAGTGTCCTACATGTGGTGCCAAGACGCTATTAACACATATAAATCTTATAATTTCAGAAATACGACAATGAATCAATTCATCCAAAGCTAGTATCTATGGGAAAACGACACTGTACTAGTCTAGCACATATACGGCTCGTATATTTGGTTTGACAGTACTGTTAACATATACAAAAACATGACACTGTATTAGTTTACACATATAAGGCTCCTATTAGTTATTACACAACACTGTATTAGTACATACAAGGTTCGTATTTTCGGCAACACGACACCGCACTAGTCTAGCACATATAAGAATAATACTTTTGGTGACACAAAACACATGACACTGTATTAGAATTATGAACAGCTTAATGACGGTTTTATCAACCTTAAATCAGTGTGTTCTCTGATTCCGGATTCTAATGTTCTAACTCACAATGAGGTCTCGTATCTATGGCGACACCACACTGTATTGGCAACATACAAATTGTTCAAACAAAGTGTGAAGATTGTTTGTTTATTTTAGAGCAAAGCCACACTGGGCTATCTGCTGTGTCCAACACGGGAAATCGAACCCCGAATTTTAGCGTTGTAAGTCCGTAGACTTATCGCTGTCCCACCGTGTGATGAACCTCGTATCTGTGACAACACCACACTGTATTAGCAACGTACAACCTGTTCGTGTGAAGTGTGATGAACTCCATATATGAAATAACGAGGTTACAATTATGTGATATAGAAAGGCATTATATATTTATGATACATTTATTTTCTCGTTCTTCTTGTTTCTTTTGCTGTTCTTGTATTGCTGCCATCAAATTTGCTAAGCTGTAGTTTGATTTGTCACTTCTCGTTTCCATTTTTTTCTTTTCCATCCCACTTCTGACACCAATTTGTTACGTCTCTGCTCGTTTGTTAATTTTCCGTAAAAATTCTTTCTGAAGAACTTCAGCGATACAAGTCCTTTCTTAAATAAAACTAGTTTATTCTTTCTCAATACAACTTTGCAATACACTTAATTTCCACAGTCACTTTAAATTAAATACACGCTATAATTCACAATGATTCACGCACTTTACTTATGGTCACTACCGCGCTTGACTCAATTGCCCGTCTCTATCTCTGCCTGTCTGCAATTATCTATCCTGTCACTTCATTTGCTAGCTTATATATACAAAAATAGAGGGCGTTTAGCAAATACTGGATTATTCGTGACGTTCCCGACTTCCTACTAGATACTACACTTACTATGTTACCAGTCGTCACGTCGACTTCCGCTGTCGTAACTATTA